TTTTTGAAAAGTTTTTTCTTATTGTATTTATAGTAATTTATTGAGCAATGGCGGACAATTGTTTCGTTGGGACGTCTGATCGGAACATATGCAGAAGTAGCTAGGTTTAATACATTACAAAACGATGACATTAGGGATTCAATATTTTCAGCAAAAAAATCAAGCGCAATGTGTAAAAAATGAAATTTAAGCGGTAAAATACCGTCTTTATGGAAACGATATTGTTTATTTGACCAAGTGGGATTTGACAAGTTTGGGTGGTTCAAAGGGCCACCCCGCCCGTAATGAAAAGACACGCATATTGCTGAATGATATGAATCAGGTAAAATAAAAAGTCGTCAGCGATTTACAACTATCTCCGGGAAATTGAAAAACAAAGATCTAGCAGTCCGCCGTTGCAATTAGGAGCATGGTTGTATTGAAACAAATTTCAATCGAATAACTGGCTGAAATAATAGCTGTATTACTGTACTATAATTAGCTCTATTAGATGTTAAAGTGGGGACCATAAGACCTGACTTGTTACTCTAAGACCAAGTGATTTACGGAACTTTGCGGTCACGCCGTTATTGGCAGCATGTATAAGTAGAAATATCGGCGTTTGGGCGAATACGGGAACAAGTCACATATAATTGTTTATTGCCAATTTTCGCCCGAATGGGAATAAATTCAACATCGGGAGGAATAGGAAATCCAAAAGAGTTGGAGGGAAATGCATGGCTAATTAAAACACCACCACAAGTGCGATCTAATTGTTTTTTTCTGAAAACCTGGAAATTGTGAATAGTGAAAAAGTTTCGACGAATGTTGATCAGATTTTAAGCAGTGCTCAGTGTTCACTGAAAGACAAACAGGAAAACTCCGGGCTTTCTAAGTTTAGCTAAGTTGAACGAACTTTTGGATTTAGGTCCCCAACATTTTGCCAAATAATAGTAAGCCTGAAGAAAGGCTTTGTCTTTTACGGGTAGGAGAAGTGCCGAATTATTATTTCAGGATCTATCACAAGGGATAAATTCTCCTATTAAGGATCCGAGCCCGCCACAATGATTTACTTAACAAAGTTTTCATCTTTTCAGTCGAAACTAAATCCTTAAAGAATGAGGTAACCTTAGGTTGACATAGAACCAATTTGGAATGCTAACATGCTGCAAAAAATAGCGGTACTTGCTTGTACGACCTGTGCAACTTGTGCAATTTGTGTTTCCCTTTAAAAAATTTTGAAAAATTATTGTTTTTGTAAATAAAAGCTAATCATGTGCATAGTTTTTCAAAACATGATTCTACTGCAATAATTTAATGCCAATGATTAATATATTGCGTTAGTAAACCAATGCAAGTTGCAAATGCAGCTATTGTAATCAGCGGATTAAGCGCAACACAAGATGATTGCGTGGCTCAAGAATTTGTAAAAAAAGCCAAAAAATTACAGTTAGGCTAGGCCGACTATTAAATACCCTACACCACATCGTCTAGCACCCTTTTATTTTTGCGATAAAATACAAAAATTATACCCTGGTTTTATATGAACTTACTGTTATGGAACTGTATATTAACAATTACACTTCTTCGCAAATAAAGGCTTATTTTCCGTAAGAAGTTCAAAAATTTATGTACGTGTGCAAAATTCATCATAGTTAATTTTTATTATGGATAAATTTTCTTCACACCATATTAATATTTTGACAGTTTTGCCCTATAAATTATCAATTTTCTTAAAAGTCTTTGCACAAGGCAGGAGGTTATTTTTATACCTTCCGCCACTTATCGTAGAGGGTAAATAGCGTGCATTTATGTAACACTTAAGCTTAAAATAGACCCACCGTTTATTATACCGCTCGATTCAGAATCTTTATCTAATACGATCTGAGCCTGCCTGTCCTCTGACGTCCTTACGGACTGTTACGAAAATTATGGCTTTGCATGGAAATAATGTGTACTTTCTGGTCTATTATTATCAAAAAGAGCAAATAACTGCACTCAGCGAAGTGGTATAGGGTATGTAATAAACGTTGCTGCCCGACTATAATGTTCTTAATTGTTTTTATCTTAAATTACTGTCATGATCTGATTTTTTCGCGAAGCATTGAAAATTATGCCTTTTTAACGGATGAACTGCAGTTTATTATACGAGAGAGACTTCAACAAATTGTCCCAGCCAGTTCAAAGTTTTCACATCAATTTAGAATGTCGAAATGCTATTACTTAACCACTTTTATCGATAAGTTTTGAAAATTGCAATTTTTTTATCTAACGACTCTTCAAAATACGGTCTTCTATGGAAAGTGGTCGAAAAAGTGGATCGATGCAAAATATTTTCATTACTCTTTTTGTCAAAACACTTTAGCATATCAAATTTCATCAAAATATCTCAAAAACTGCGATCTTTAGCTTGAGCACAACTTTACATTGACAGACAGATAGATGGACGGGCAGGTTTATGGGGGTTTATCTTAAGGCCATCTTTGTGCTGCATACGTCCCACGTCATCTATCACAAGCGTTGTAGGGTATAATAATATTGAGTACGTGTATTTAAATGTAGGTGAGCACGCAGCTTGTGCTGCGTTGTGCGTGAACGCAAATTTTTGCCAACCTTTTAAGATTTCTGCGTGCGATGTTTTTGACAATCAAAACAATGATGTATTTATAAAAACAAAACAAGATTAAAGAAGGGTG